TGCATATATAATTATTAAATGGAGAGCCCAAAAGCCAACTACTCACATCCTATGCTTTCTTTTTCCAAAACTAATTATTAAATGGAGACAAAAATAAATAATTAAGTAAAAATAAGAGAAATTAATAAGATATGGCTTTTTTTTGAATTTTTACTTTTGTGTCTGGGGCTTTGCGCCTTCGAACCCTAGGCGTACAAGTGAATTCTGCATTCAATCATATTAATACGACATCCGTGTATTACACGGGTGCTGATTAAAAAATTATTCTTACAAATTTTAAAAAATAATTCTTACAAATTATTTTAAGAAGATATGTGTTACTTACAGCATCTCCAACCATATACTTTATCCCTACAGTTTCAACAATAAATTCTCCCCAGTTTTACAGTTTGAACAGTTAATTCCCCTCTAAAAGAATATTCCAAACATATTCTTTTCTAATTTTATTATTTTATTAAATAATCTCTACAAATTACATTTTAATGCATTATGTTTGCTAAAATTTACATATCTATGAATATATATTAATTATTGATTAATAAGATTGATATTAAATTTAAATCAAATCATAAAATTGCACATCTATTAATATATAATAAAAATTAACTTAATTCACTTTTAGTATTCTTTTCCCACCAAAACATTAATTATTGCCTAAATATAGTAACTTAACAAGTTTTCATTAATTATTGTCTAATTATATTGGATATGTTTTTCCCATTTTTTTTTTCTTTTATGATATGGAATAAAAATCCAAAACAATATCCTCTTAATTGATGTGTTGGGCGGAATTATATTACCTACTTAACATACTCTCATTAATTATTGCCTAATTATATTACATATGTTTTTTTCGATTTTTTTCCAATTTAAGTCTAGACCATATATGGTTCAGGGCATATATTCACATTTTGAAAAAAGATTGTAGTAAACTGAATGGAAAATCCCAACTGTAGGATTTAAGTGTAATATCCTGATATTTTATCGGTATAAATTATGTTTTAGTTCCGATATAATAATGTTATTAATTATTATTGTCGGAATTAATCAGTTTCAGTCGAGATTACCGAAATATATTTTCGACGTACCGTTTACGTTCGAAATAATTTTGGTAATTAAGCATTATGTTTAATTAATAATTAAACATAAATTAAAGTGATTAATTAATAGTAATCATGTTGTTAAGGGCATAAAAGCCGTCCAATTATTCATAATATAAGGTAAAAGCCGTGAGAAATTAAGCAAATGTTCCAAAATTTTATCAATCTTTCTTAAGCCTTAAGGAGGAAATTTTTCTCCCAAATATTTCACCCCCACGTGTCATGTTAAGAAACTTAGTGGGGAGATTAGTCATTCTAAGCTTAGGTAGATGGAGAGCAAATGTCTTAAGCCAAATAGGCCACGTTGAGCTTACATCACACCATTCTCCCCCACGGCCTATATATAAGCATGTAATAATAAAATTTTCCCCCACTTTTCTTAAGACATATTCAGCATAATACCCCTCAAACTATTGCACACTAGCAGCAACTTTAAGAAGGCCAAGTTCTATATATTCCCTCAGCTCCTTATACTATCGCACGGCAATTTGAGCATATGCACGGCCATCCTCGGACGCGCACATAGCCAAACCATCACCCCATCTTTCGTGTTCCGCCGAGAAATCGAAGAGGTAACTCCCTCCTCAGCTTATATTCATGTTGATAAGGTCATGTTAAGGTTAAGTGTTCGATCTATGTGCAAGAATTTCTAGGAAAGTCATGCTTAAAGCCGAGTATGCTTAAAGTAAGGTCACGATCGAATAACTTTCGATTTTCCCGGCAACTCTCGAACCATTAACGTTTAATGTTCAGTTTAACTTATTTCATTACCAGTAAGTTCAGATTAGTCAAGGCAGAGTGAGGTTTTGTCGATGAAATGGCCCAAGCCGACGCTAGCGCCTATCGCGCGTGGCCTCGGGCAGCTTCGGGCCGTGTCTTAGTGCCTTCAGTAATGATCATGTTTTTCCTTGTGATTATGTCTTAAATTGCCTCAAAGTGATGTTCAGGTTAAATTGTTCTGGAGTTGCCGAGTAAAAAGATGTTTTGGCCGGGAGACGGCGTATAGCCGTCGGCGGCGCACGGCGCGCCCGCCGCGGCCCTTTCATGTTCGTCGTGCAATAGTTATGTTTTCAAGCCAATTTGATAATTATATTCATGTTAAGTCAGAAAAGGTTAAGTAAAGTCAGTTCGGTCGGAAAATTTTGCCGGACGGCCGGCAAGCGCCGGCCGTGGTCGCGCTGCCGCACACAGCGGTAGCAGCGCATCGGCCAACATTCAGAGCGACAGGCAACGCGCACAGACGAGGATGCGTGCGGTTGCCTGTGCGCGGTAGCGTTACGGGAGACGCCAGTAGCACGCCCACCAGCAGTTGCACGCACCTGTGTGCACAGACCTCATCCAGTCCCTGCTGCGGCGCGAGGGCGCCCAGCAGCGTCAGCCAGTACTTGCGCCCGTGCACACAGCACGGGGCAGCACCCAGTTCAGCACCCGCAGCGTCCAGTACGTGCTGCGGCCAGTCAGTTAGCCAGCCAGCGGGACGCCACGCTGATGCGTAAGTGGGTTTTGACCCCCGACGACAAAAAGGGCCAAGAGTCGAGACAACACGATGAGGCTGATAATGGGGCCAAAACAACACATGCATGGCCTAAGAGACGGGCACGAACTCGTATGCGAGGCGCACAAGTACGCGAGAAAGGACGCATTCAAGAAGGGCGCGCACACGCGCATTGGCGTAGACATGCATGGCACTTGGAGGTTAGGCGAAGTGGCGCACAGGGGGAGGTTGTTGGGTGGATGGCGCGCGAGGGGAATTGTTATGGGACAATGAATGCAGGTGCGAGC